GACTTCAACTCCCAGAATTCCTCAGCCAGCTTGCTGGCTGAGGAATTCTGGGAGTTGAAGTCCACAAGTCTTAAAGTGGCCACGGTTGGACACCCCTGTTTTAAATGAAAGGGCGGCCGCAGCCAGGCTCTGCCCCTGGACCTCTGCCAGGTCCTTTCCCTCTTCCAGGGTCCGAGCGGCTGGAGCAACGAACGGCCCCTGCCCGGCTCAGCCCCAATCCCTCCAATCCCATGGCGAGAACAAGAGAAACCAAAACAGGCTCCGGGCCTCCTTGTTCTGCTCCTGCAGGAAACCTGGATGGGGAGACCGATGCAGCGGAGCGCACGCTGGAGGACGTCTTCATCCGCAAGTTCATCTTGGGCACCTTCCATGGCTGCCTGGCGGATGAGATCGTGCTGAAGCGCCGGGCCAACGTGGTGATCATCTGCGCCATCCTCCTCCAGAGTCTCCCCCCCCATAAGATTTACTTCCTGGTGGGCTACACGGAGGTGCTGCTTTCCTTCTTCTACAAGTGTCCCGTTAAGATAGAGCTGCAGACCATATCGGAGAGGATCATTTACAAACACCTCTAATCCTGGCTGAGCTTGGCGTAGGAAGATGCTCCATACTGGACCCAGCGGGGATTTCTTGCTTCTCTTTGTCCTGGAACAGGCTGGTGTTTTCCAGACACGGGCGTCTCCTCCAGAGACTGGGAAATAGATGGAAGCACCCAGAGATAGGAGAAATCTTGTCGATTATTAGATTGCTGAAATGCAAACAAGGAATATTTGTCCCTATTTGTGGCTCTTCCCAGATCTTTTGTCTCTTTAGCTATTACAACCTTGGTCTCTGTAGCAATTGAAAACAATTTCACTTTGCTTTGTTGAAAGGGGGCGGGGGGGGGGGAACCTCTAGATTGAGGTTGCATATAGCCTGCAGGTTGCCACCCCAGGGCAAGTGGGGGTGGGTGAGTTCCTGCTAAACAGAAGGTGAAAAAGCTGGACTATGTTTCCTTTCTTCACGGACTGCAGAGCAAGTGCTTCAGTTCAGGAAGGAACCTATCCGGTAAAAAGGAAGGTTGTGAGGCAGACAAACAAAATGGCACCAAAGTTCAGGCTAGATTCTTTTCAGGCAAATGGCCAGAATTAAGCTCTGGAGTAAGCTGGCTGTGAAGTTTATGAACCTTAGCTTCAGACAACCAGTGCAGGATGGCCTGAGATGGTAGAGATGGAACGACAGTATGAGAGGTACCTTGGGGACAAAACGGGGCAAAACAAAGCACCCTGGGAAAATTCTTCCTTCTGTTCTGGAGAAGATAACCTGTTCCACATACTTCCCTTTAGATACATCTGGGAGATAAAGTATTCACACATTGGCAAGTGGTAAAAATGGGATGAACAAGTTCCCGGCAGTCCACATCCACCCAGGCATGACAAGAAGGACAGCTTGAACCCCAAGGTGATTTTCTGTATAGAGAGTGTCTGGGGAAACATGATTTCTGCCCACAAACTGTCATGTTTAACAGGGCTGAGTAATTGGCAAAATTCATGATGGACCAGTGCTATCCAAGTGTCGCAGCAGTTTCATTTTGTCTAAAAACAAGTAACCCAAAAGAGCCAATCCTGGTTAAACCACCAGGGAAATCTCAGGACTATAAACCAGATTGGGAATTGGGCAAAGAGAGCAGGAGCAAATCTCTCTTCCTGGACTTGTCTAGAAATTCAGCTTGACTTGAAGAGACGGCTTTTTTTATAGAATAGCGAAGGGATGTCTCTCCAGGAAGTCTTCTTTCCCTTCGAAGTACTTCTGCTGCTAGGGGTGTGTGTCAGCTGAGCCCCAATTCCGAAAGCCAGGTCCCTGGCCTTGGGGAAATGGCCATGAAAGTAGTTTGCTTGCCTGAGTCCCCCCCCCGCTGAAAGGAGGTTGGAAAAAGAGCCGTGCCCCTTGGCCGTCTCTTCCACCTTGTGCTCAGTGCAAGTTGTGTACCCAGTGACTGCCCGTGGGCCAGGCGTGAACTTGGACAGGGAGGAGGGAAGACTCCGGCCGTGTTTTTGCCAGCACAAGCTCCTTGGGATTGGAATGCCCTCCTCTTTGAGGTCAGTCCAGCCTAGCTTGGTAACGGCAGTTTCTTTTCTTCCTGGAAATGAGGATGGTTGTAAAGTGGAAGTTCGCCGTTTTGACTCGAAACACAAATTCATTGAAAAGACTCATCAGGCGTGTGTCCTTAACTGAATGACTGAATTGACCTGTCTTGGGAGTTTGCACAAGATTGCCGCTATTTTTTAATCCAAGGTTAATGGTAATCCAGTTTAGCATGTACCGCTTTGCTGAGCCAGCATTCATGGATGCGGCTGATGTCATCCAGTATAAAGTAACTCTGTAAGGTCATCCTGTGACACGGGATGTTGCAAGTAACGCTCACCAGGAAAGGTTATGGCGGCAGAGATTTCTGATGAGCTGCACTGAAGAGGGGCCACTCAAACCTCCTCTCTGAACTCTGATTCTGCTTTATAAGACAGGGCACGGGGTTCCTGGCGCTGCCAGTTGTACAAAACTAATGATGCAAGCAGAGAAACGCACATGGCCCATCTCCAGCTTCCTAATGGTTTTAACTTTGCCCTTCAGAAACAGAGTCCAAAGCTTAGAAGCCCCCAGGAAGCTAAGCTGGGTGGTGGGAGTGAATATTACTGGCCTTAACCCAGATAGTATTTATCTTGGCTGTATTTCTTTCCATCAGGTGTGAACCGGTTAGGATAAAACGCCAATGCAATGTGTGGCCAAGAAGGCCAGATTCGCAGTTACACGTTGTGTCATGAGTGGAAGGTTGAAATTGGCTGCTGAGGTTCTGGATGTAATCCTTGCAACCGAGTGACCCTCTGTTTCTTCTGGCCGCTGGCCATCTGTTTTCCCAACCTGGCTGTTCCGATTCATAAAGCGGGTGCTGAAGAGGCCCAGTTGTTTTCCTCGGTGGTGGTGTGGTGGTGTCTGGAGCACTTCCTAGGGAGTGCACTGTTTGCTTTGTTGGTTTATGCCTAAACGTTGTGTTTAGAACCCTTTTTGCCAAATAACATCCACGGGAGTAATTTGAGTGTTAGTCACAGGGCCAGAGACAGCTTTATTTTTAAGTCCCAGTCCAGCCAGGAGAGCAAACAGCCAAGACATGCACTGGCAGTAATGGTGGCTTAGTCATTTTCTCTTCCTTGACACAAGCCATCATCTGTAATCCAGGGCTCACTTTCTCTTTTCTACCCGAACTTCTGTTTGCCTCCCTTCCAGGGAGATTTTTTAAGATTTGATTTTGTTTTAGGTGCTTACCAGTTTATGTATTTTGCTGTGCTGCCCTGTCTAGGTGCCCCCAGCCTCAGTGATGGCAGAAGCAGAAGCAGTTGGAGGCAGGCAGTCCCTCATACACCAAGCCCTGTGCACAAAGGGCTTTGTGGGTGAGGCCAACACTTTGAATTGCCCCAGGAAACTGGATTACCGCTGCAACTAGTGATATAACATGGGCATAATGTGTGGCGCTTCCAGATGATCTTCAAAGACAGCCCCACATAGAGGACTTTGCAATAGTCTGAAGTTTTGCATCTTTCAATATATTTTTATCCACTACTAGATGACAGTTTCGTGGCATAAGACCTGCCCCCTGTGGAACGTAGACGTTTGCAACTGGTGCGGTTTCTGTTTGGTGGATGGGAAGTTTTCTCCCCAAGTAAATACATACTTTTGGTCCTTTAGCAACTGATGTAAATGCCCACCAATAACACTGAAATCTTATACTGTTCAGATGGCAGGTTGGGTTCTGCTTGCTGAAAGCATTCCTTTAGATGCTACAAGATGCTAAATGATTTACCGTGCAACAAGTAGATTCACACAATATATTGAACTGACATTATTCATTAGGTTGATACCCCGTTTCTTTCACAAGCACCTCATAGGCAACTCTTGGTTTCCCCCAACAGCCACCTGGGTTGAGCTAAGAGGGCGGCTGCCTTAAAAGACCATGCTTGAACCTACATTTCTTTGGTCCTAATCCAGCAGTTCAACTACTACACCACATTCTAAGCTTCGTATTTTGTGTCAACTGGGCCTCTTTCAGCAGAATGTGATATATCTTCCGGCTCACATTTATGTGACAATTTCCTCAATATTAGCTGGAGATTCACAAATAGAAAATCATTCTAATCATCCCAGCCTCTCCATGTTAACTTCAAATTTTGTACTTCCCAATATGTGCAGATAAGATTCCTCCTAAGCAGTGCTTTTTTTCCCCTGCTACAACACATTGCATTCCCATAATGCTTTCTTTTTTTGTTATTGCAAAATTGGGAGGTGTTTCAGGTCCCAGAAGTCCTGTCTGATACTTAAAAGTTGCCTTTAGGAGAAAACCGCTGTAGAGCCGGTATATTTACAATTGAGCATTTATAAACAATCGTGTCTTTTCAGCAATCTAACATCATTGGTAGGACTTGCTGCAACTTAACATTGCTCTGTAGGTAATGCCATCGCATGACCATTTTTCCGTAATCCACTTGCCAGTACACTTGATGCTTGGGTTTCCAGTAATTTTGTATAACTAATCTAATAAAGACAGCCGAAGAAGCTTCTTGGACGAGAAGCGAAACGTCTTCCCAGAAAAAACCAAGTCCAGTTGCCTCTTGGAAAAGCACCTCTGGGATAATCTAATAAAGACTGTCTCACTGGGTCTGGGAACTGAGTGGGTGATATAAAAATTCCATAGAGCAATACGTAATAAATGTCCAATTTGTGTATGTTAGCGTTATATCTAACGGGAGATATGACCCACATCTTGATAAGTAAAAGGACAGCAGCAGCCCCCGATCTTTTGATGGAGTGGCCGGTGCCTCTTTCCATCACCTGCAGCTTTTGCTGCCTCATACCTGGTTGCTCGAACGCCTTCCACACAGATTGACAAACTCCACAGGGGATTCGTTACGGGGGGGGGGGGGCGGGGGGAGCATTGGGTGCCCCTCTGTTGTGTCAAGAGATCATCCGGCTGGTGGAACATTGACTCGAGGGCTGCAGTTTGTTCCTTCCTTCCCAGAGTTGGTCATTACGACGGTAGTTCTGGACTCCAGCCTTGCCCTCCAAGCGTAGATCCTGTCTTTGGAGTCGTCTCCCTTCTGAGGACAAAACGGACTCCGGTGACTCAGCTTTCAGCAGCCAGCCTCAGCCCAGGGAAGGCAGCGGATTCGGCCTTGCCAGTTGGCAGCAAGGCACAGCCTTGTCCTCTGGACTCAAAAGTCACAGGGGCTGCCTGCCAGGTGGTTGCAGTCAAGCTAACCCTGGCCACCCCCCTGGGTGGGCAGGGAGGGGGTCCCGGTCAGGCTTTTGAGGCACTCGGATCCCTCCCCAAATCCCTCTTCCCCAGGCCTGCTTGGGGTTGGGGCTTCCAATTTTCATGTGGGTTGTGGTTGATGGGCCTTGCTAGGTAGTCATGCTGGGCTGATCTTGAAAAGCAAGCAGAGCGGGGCTTGGCTGAATTGGCTGAGCAGTATGACAGTCCTCAGCTTAGTGACCATTTTAACTTACGATGGACCCCCCTCAAAAAGGGTATTTAGACAGCAGTTCAAAGTTCCAATGCTGCCCCCCCCCAACTGTATTTTAGGCCCTTGGTAAATTGCTCACATTTATGGCCATTGGCAGCATCCTACAGTCATGTGACTGTGGTTTATATAATTTTTGCTGAAAACTGGTATTTACTTCCAGTTTCTGCCCAAAAAAAAGCCCAGTGTGGACAATGGGGTCAATTAAAGACTGTTGTGTTCATTTAAACACA